GGCCACGGGTTAATGTTCATGGATGGCGAGGACCGATGATTTCCGCTGTTGGATCTGTGCATCCTCCCCAACAGAACCCAAATGGCATTGGCCTGAGCCTTTCCTGTGCTAGCGGCAACGTCGTGTTCTTCGTCCCGATTCTGGAGGAGGGCCAGAAAATCATTGTGGATTTCGATGATGTGGAGGAGCCTGCCTCTCTAGGCTATGAGTACCTTTACCAACCTCCACATCGGTTCTCATCCTTTGTTCTTTCACAAGGGCAAACAGTGTAAGTAAATCTGTTCATCTGTGAGTGCCCATCTCAGTTGTTCTGTCTTCAGTATCTTTCCACCTGGGCAAATCTTTGCCTACGCAACGATTTCGGAACCATGCATCATAACCCCTGGATGCATTATGCAAGGCTCATACTTCCTTGCTGCAGGGTGTATGAGGCGCTCGTTTCTGGCCAGCTGGCTTGATCGCAGCTCCAAGGATGACTCCACGAGTGAATATTCCTGGAGCTCTACCGTGACGGCATGCTTAATGGCCATGGTGTTGAAAGCAGTGCATGAGCCATCCACTCCAGAACGACAACCCCACTCGGCGAACATCCCCAACTTGTTTTCGCTGGCATCAATGGCACTCATGTTCATTGGACAGCAAGAGCACGAAATTGGGGAAGTCGCGAAGGCCCTGGGACACCGCTGTATCGAGCAGGATCCCAAAGCTTGTGCAGACGTTGTGGCCGAATTCAACGACCTTAGGATCGCAAATCATGCGTACAAGGGAGATGATCTCACCCCCGATCAGCGTACAGAGTGTGATGCCAAGGCAGCTGAGTTCCGTCAGAGTATGATGACTGCTGTCCAGAACATGAATTCTTCTTGACACTTGTGCCCCCCTCCCCTTTTGTGTTTTTTCTACACTGTCGTCGTTTTGTACTAGAAATGGCTGCTGCACCGCCCAGACCTTGCTTGTGTGAGGTTTTCTTTTCATTTTTTATCCGATTGCACTTCAACTCCGCATCATAAATTATCTGGATATTTAATTAACAAGATAAGGCAGTTGATAAAGTCCTTTGGACCAGTATACTTGAATGTCATGATGTTATAGTAATAATGGAGAGTGGGAGTAGGGGCCGCATACATGATGCAGGCCCAAGAAAGGGTGAAGCGCAACGCGCTTCTGCAAGTTGGCCTTCAGCAAAAGCTGAAGAGCTGTATCGCTGGTGTAAAACCAGTAGGGAGACGGTCACATAGACTGTCTACAACCTCTCAGCATGAGGAAGAGGCGTGGGGGAGATATGAGCCCTTTCAAACTCCAGCTCATTGGAGCATCATGCGCTTCAGTGAGCTGGCACTCGAAAAACCCTTGATCTGACGCAAAACCAGCAGGGAGACAGTCATATAGACTGTCTCTGCACATGCAATATCAGTGCGAGTGGGAGGGGTATGGGCAGTTTATTAGCATTTGTTGAAGCGTGATGCGCTTCGGTGAGCTGGCACTCAGGAAAGGCTGAAGTGCCGTCGATCCGGTCTAGACACGGTTGGGAGATGGTTGTATGAACCATCTCTGACCTCTCAAGATGAGAGGGAATAGGAAGAAGTGTGCCTCCAGGCACACTACCAGAGAGTCGGATTTTGGCCAGTGGGGACGCAGGATGTGGGTGGCCCTGGTCGAGTCTGATAGCACGAATGGCGTGAAGCTTGCTCTCCATAGCCCGTTCGAATGCATCAAAGCGGGCTGCCAAATCTGGCGAGAAGTCCGTCAGTTGGCGGGGTCACTGACTCCGCCAAGGTTCTTACAATCTGCTCTAGGTGGTCGAGGTGGCCTTCCACGGCCTGTGAGGGCCATGTTGGAGACTGCTATTAGCGGTGGTTGGAGGTGCGTCAAGGGTTTGCAAATCGCTGGCATCAGTGGTTTGCAGAGGTGTCCCAAGGCCAGGCCTTGGGGACGCGTTAATTTGCCTGGTTTGGGCAGGCAAGGGCACGTTAGGGACCGTGGAGGGTCCCATAGGCGCGTTATCGCACCTGACATTGTGAATCTCAGGTGGACCGACTCTGGTAGTGCCATAGTCGTTCACTTGGGGGCCGGTTGCGTTAAACCGTGTTGCCTTCTTATTGCAAGAAGGCAAGGGCTCATGGGATTGTTGTAAGACAGCAACGGTTGGTTCGACGCTTAGCGCAAGGATACCCGACCTACATTATCTCGGTGAGACGCCGATGATTGATGTTAGGTTTATTTCTAGTCGGTCTCTACTGTCTTATCACTATATGTTTATTTAACATTTATCTTCCTTTTTCCGACCTGTTGGTCGCTTCACTTTCCTTTATTTGTAATAACTTTCACTCCTGTTACATTCGAGTAATCGACGCTTAAAAGCTCGATGTTTACTTCGCTGACGCCCTCAGTTCTCATTGCGTTCACAACCGCGAGACTGAGTGTTATTTCATTCTAGTCCGCGTTAGGGATAACCTTGCGGGGCCCATGGTAACGGTGGTGACGGTGGTGGTGCGAAGTGGGGATTTAAAGATTAGTGCGCTTCACGACGTTGATCTTGCCAATAATGGCAGTTGCAGCGCGATTCGACTTTTGTCCACTACTCCAGGTTTTGTCAAAAAAATGTAACTCGCCAATATAAAGTTCCATCAGAGTATGATGACCGCTGTCCACATGCATTCTTCTTGACACTTGCACCCCTCCCCTTTTGATTTTTTTCTACACTGTCGTTGTACATTACTTCACGCATGGGAACAAATTCTGAGGATTTACCACGTGACGTTCGACCTGGTGTCGAACCTATGCTTTCGCATCTTGAGGAAATGAGGACTAAAGAGACACAACAAGCTGTCGACTATTAGGATAATTGGGTATGGTTTGGGTTGGAATGGGGAATGCAACAGTGGCCATAAGGGATTTCCATCAATTATTTTAGTGCAGCATGTCATGCTTTCATTGGTATAAAACATAACGAGGGTGTCTGATAATAGTAATAGTTGTTATTGCTTAGCAGGATGTCATGCATTTGCTCGCCATATTCCAACATGGTGGTCCACGCAGGTTGTGCAAGATGCCTTCGTCATTTGAAATTTCTCAGAGTTTTACCTGAGTCGGACGCGTCGTCAGTCCTCAATACCGCGACATACGAACCCTTTTCCCCCAATGTTCACGCTGGAGACACCGGATGGCGCCTACGTTGCTAGACGGTAACGTCGTACTTGATGTTAAAGTCCCCCAAGTGCAGGGCACGATGCCGCGACCGTACCCGATCTCACAGCACCAGAGCGCACCAAGCTCAAGCTAAGGCCAAGAGGCCTTAGTATCGAGTTGCCATCCGACGTCGATCCCGAGCCCATGGGCGGTGCCTACCGTAGCAGCACCAACCCAAACCGTTGTATACGACATGAGAGTGCAGGCACAAAAGGCATAACCTCCACGGCCTAGCAACCCCCAGCCAAGCCCAAAGAGCTAAGGCCTCCCAACCCTAGCTTCGAGTCCCCGGTTCCGATGACGAGCCCAAGCCCGCACACGAGTCGCACGACGCCCCAGCCCAAGCTGACGATGGCGCCGAGCACCAACCAGTAGAGACCCCAGCACGCAAAGGACATCAGTTAAACACCCGTGTTTGACTGAGTCTTCCAGTGCGAAGTTGATCGCGCATTGTATGGAATTCTACGGCGAGAGCGAAATCAGTAGCTGTGGGCATGGGTTAGCTATGGGAGTGGAAATGGGGCGTACTGCTGTGCCCGATCCTCCCATTCGACCTACGGTTCCCCAGTATCGCGATACCGAGTTCTGGGTAGTTTGGCGCTGGAGCCGGTTGATGGTGGTAATGACAAGGAGAAGCGAGGGCACAATGAGGATTGAGGGTTGAGTGTTTGAGGGTCAATGCCAATGTTGTTGAAGCGCACGCGCTGAGATGCCGTGGGAAAGCTCTGAGCGAGTTACTGTCTCAAAAATGGAGTCAACTCCTTCAAATGAATCCGTAGTTGTCGAGGAATCCAAGTTTCGCGCCTGCCATATACCTTCGACAGGTGTCGAATGTCACGTGATACTTTCACCTCCTGTTATATTGTTATATTGTCATGTCGTTTTCAATTTATTGTTATATCTACATATACTACTAATATATACAAGCCTTCGGTGTGCACTTCCTGTTGTACGACTTATGTTCGTGATTGTTTCGTGTTGCACGTTTGCAGAGACTTCATGGTTATCTCCATTCTTTTTCTATTTCAGGTTGAGAGTGAGGTGGTGAAGCAGGGAATTCGAACGCAAATTCACGTTTTGAGCAAAGAGAGAATGATGTTGCGGAGCATGCAGGAGGACTGAAGGATTTAGTTACTGTGAAGAATCGATCATTGATCGTGGAACGACTCCAGGGATATCAAAGTTCATATTCACAGGAGGTTGCATTGTGTCAGCGGGGTATTCGGTGATCATATAGCGTGGATGGCGTCGCGATGTTGTAATTCATGACGTGAGCCATCAGATTGCATTGTAATAAACGCAGGTCGGTGCGTTGGATCGAATGATACAGTTAGTACGTTTGCGTCGTCCGAACTTGAGTGAAGGATGAAGTGCGAACCTCGATGATAAAAGAAATTCCATGTACTAGAGTCTGGCGGCTGTCTGAGTCATTGTTGAGGGGCGAGATTTGCTTCTGACGCGAGGTCACCTCAAGCAGCCAATGTGCCCCCTAAAGCCACGGAATGATTGACAGACGAAGACCGGGGGGGGTCTGGCACTTGCATAAGTGGTCGCTCGCAGCGCGGCCAGCCAATGAGAGAGCGAGAACGCACTTCAATGCACTGGTGAGACTCTGTACATTGAACGGTTCCGGGGCGTGCAGTGTGTGTGCCGTCGCAGTGCCATCGCAGTGGTATAACCTGGCAGTTGGGAACACAGCCAAAGTGCGAATGGATGTCAAAGGAGCAATGTCGAGGACGTCAATCCCAACTCCGGTGAAATGGGAGCCAATGAGAGGAGCGCGTGGGAACCGACCCAACTCGGGGTTAAGGTTAAAACCTCAAAGAGCGAGGCTTGAGCCAATCAGGGGGCGAGAAACAGTCGTCCGGCTGGACCCGCGCTATTAGTATCAGTAAACTAGAAATAAAGGAGGCGATAAATAAAATCACATGCTACTGTGAGTCACCGGGAAATTTGTACGAGTCATCCAAATATTATTTACACACGGTCTGTCATCCCGATGGAATTGACTTTATAATGAAGAATACAAATAAGAACTAAAGTCCGAGTGAACCCTCCTTCGCTAGCTGGTCCGCACGATCGCTCCCGATAATGCCAGAATGAGCTGGGCACCAGCTGATGATGGTTTCGAGGGGCTGGTTGCGCAACAGTATGTTGGCCAAATACGTTCGAAATCCCTCTGAGTAGTGTTGTCCCTTTGTTGGACTTGACATCGTGTGTCATATCTGTGCATACCCGACCCGACTTCCAGACCTCCACCCTCTTCACCTCCAGAGTCATAACCTACCGCTGCCGTTCCGATACTCACCTTTGTCCTGGCAACACCTCCTTCTACCCCCCATGCCACCTCTACTCCTCCTTACTCTCCGACCCTATCTCTGTCCGCTCCGATACTCACCTCGGACCGAACACCGCCCCTCTCGCCACCCTCCTACTACTCCTCCTCCTCCTACTCCGCTCCCCCTTCACAACACCTCCACCCTCCCGTCATCCTCCTACGCTTCCCCCGTCCGCTCCGATACTCACCTTCAGACCTGACAACACACCTTTCCGCCACTCCTTCCCCCTTACCTTTCCCCTGTCTCCTCCCTCTGGTACTCCTCCACCACCCTTCCGCCAAGTTACGACCTTCCACCGCTGTCCCGTACTTCGTACTCGGATGCTGCTCATACCTTTGCTCCGAGCCTCCATCATAGTCCCTACCTCGGACTTTGACTCCACCTCAGTCTTAGTCCATTGCATTGGTGACCTCATACCACATAAACACCATTGCCAATATCCCTTGGACTTTCAACCCCGCCTCTGTAACCTCCGTAAGCTCCGCAACCCCCGAGCTTCACGGATCGCCTTCGGCACTTTCGCCGCTTGTAATGTATCTCTCGCGTTTACCCCTCATCCCTATTTGGACTACTGCTTCTTCCCATTCTAGCCAGTTAGTCATCATCCCTACTTCTCCTCATCCTCCTGCCCCTCTGGGCCTTGCCCTCCCTACCTCCTTTTGGACGTATCACAGGTCCTGCCTTATGACCTTCGGTACCGTTCCGCTCCTTCTTCCCTTTGTTCCCGTTCGGACGTCTTCGTTCCGATTTGGTTTCCCTTTGTTTCCTTGTGCTCTTGCCCCCTCCATTATATATATCGGCGCTTGTACATACTTGTTTTGGTTCAGTCCAAAATGGACCTGAAATGCCCCCTAGAGACTTCCTGCTCACCTACTGTGAAATTAAGGACCAAATGGACAAACAGCAATGGCACAGTGCTCCGCTTGAGTCGCTGAGGCCAAGGTCCCTCCACGCTAAGTCTCCGATTCCACTCCAGAGTCGTCTGTATCAGCCCCGTTCTAACATCGTGAGATGTTCAATTGAGCCAATATCATCTCCAAATATGAGTAAACGCGTTAGACGCTGGGTCGCATTGTTCCCTCAAATACTCCTGTGATTTTCTGCACTGCCACCTGAAACCCCTGGGTTTCTGCTTCAAACAGGTGTGCCCCCTTCAGCTTACACTGCGAACCATCGCTGTACACAAACAGATACGATGGGTCATCCTCATATTGAGCGATGAAGCTTTTGTGAGCTTGCGCCCATGCTGGTTTATGCGACGTTCCTCGAGTGTGGGGAGGCAGGTAGACCTGCACTTGAGTAAAACCTTCCCCCTGCATCGCTAGGTCATTGCGAACCGCAAGTGGGCAGCCTTGATGTGTCTTTGGTAGGCATTTGAGGTGGGCGTGGGGAGCATTCGAAGCCAGCTCGCAGCGCTGGAATGGATTGGCTGCAGAAAGAGTCGGGGGAGTTGATAGGGATTCGGCATTTGCTGGGTGGCGTTCGAGATGAGGGTTTGGGGTAAGTGCGATGAGTTGGAATGAGTTGGGAGTGAGTTCAAGATACAGATACGAGCGAATCGAAGGGAGCTCGTAATGCGATCGAAACTCGGTCGAAGTCTGATCAAGGCACTTTCGAAGGAGCTATAAGAGCTTGAGTAGTTCGTGACAGGAAGAGAGTGGGCACGTTGTTGAACTAATAGCATTGAAACTAGTTACCTAGCATGTTTCGCTAGGGTACATGAAAGTGTGTAAGTGATTAAGATAAAATGCTCAGAATCCAGTCTGACTGATAGGCAGGCAGGGGGAAACGATACAAATATCGGGCAATGTCATCGTAGTGATTGATCGTTCCATTGCATTTGAACTGCATGGCGAGGCGTTACGAGCACATTACTCCAAGGTGGGTTGTTTTTGGGCAATGTTGCAATAGTTTCCGTAGCATCGTCAAGTGTCTGTCATTGCGTTTCCATATATTGAAGGTCCACTTTCTCATCGCTCCCTCTTCCATGTCTTTGAAACGTTGACAGGCCAGTATGATGAGGCGCTATGCTGGACGACTGGTTTGAACCATAGAAGTCGCCGTGAATGATGGGGTTCACCCCATGGTTGGTTTGATAGGTTATCCCGATGATTATGTTGGTGGAATCATCTTTCACTAAACATGGCCCTTGCAGCATCAATACATGCTGGGCTATTGACCACAATCACCTTTACATTCAGAGTGATGGTGATGCAAGCCTTCCATTCTGAATATGCAATAGAGAAGCAATGGCATGTTCAAGTGACTGTGATGGTAATTTCTGTCACACAATGTGTCACAGCACAACCACAACGTTGTGGGGCACCCAAATATATAAAGTCAACAAGAATATATGGTGCTTAAGAATTACAAGACGAAGCAGTCAGGAGAATCATTAATTGATAAAGACAGTCACCTGAAGGAAAAATTCCTATTTTTCATTCTTTTTTTCAACTTTACATTCACTTTTAATATAATTACGTTGGGTACCCATTCTGTGCTGCTAAGCCCACCTAACAGGGCGTTTCCAGTAGGGGCCCCTGCCATTACGTACCATGATACAGGCTGCCCCCAAGGGTCAAGCTCGCCGGGGTTTGTAGGGGCCCCAATGGATGGCTTGTGTCATGGTGCATATGATGGGGGCCCCCATTGAAAATGCCCTGTTGGGTAGGCCTAGCAGCGCATAATGGGTACCCTAAGGGCCTTGCTGGTTGAGCAAGGAGCTCTAAGTGCCATCAAGGGCACGTGCCATTCGACATGATGTCGAACGCTTCGCATCTTCACCAATACTGCATCGTTCAGTGGGAGACTCGGTGGAAAAATATCCCCTTTTGATTCTGTAGTTTTCTATTATGTGGGCATCCTTGGGTCTTGGGGGGTCAAATATTATAGCTTCTCTCTTGTTCGAGAGGGTGTTTTTTGACATGATCTGTGGGATTGGCATCAGGACACCTCCGAGGTCGATTGAGCTGATTTGATCAAATCCCTGGGATTCCCTCCCTGCGCCCCAATCGGTTCGATCATGCCAACCTATCATGTAGATTTATCTACGTTCCAAAATGAGGTATAAATTTATGATCTTATTTACAAAAATTAAAGCAAGCGAAGGCATTACAGGGGTCCAAGGTGAAGGAGATCGCGTTTAAAGTTCCGGTGAAAAACGATCACCTGTTATCCAAGGGTGACTCGCTGCATCGCTAAGAAGAGGCCTCCTCTCAGGCTCTCTGTGCAGCAGCTAGTAACAAATCAGTATGAGTGCCAAGCAACAGTGGGTTGGACGCACAAGTTCGATGAAGTCACAAGCTTCTGGGGAAATGTGACTGGGAAGTTCCAAGTCCACCGACACAATCCGTTGGCATGTTGCTGTCACATAGCATCAGTCAAAGACAGGATAACTCATCGCATGGGGAACACTAACCTATGAAACTATTCGCTTCGAAGGGTACATTGCCAACAAGAAACTCGTAAGCAAGGACACCCAGTGCCCAGTGATCCACTTTCTCCGTGCAGGGTTCCCCTGCAATCATTTCAGGGGCCATGTAACCGAGAGTGCCGCAGAATGTCATCCGGCTGGTGGGTCGTGTCAATACTAATCAAAGCAGTCATGCATTGATGGAACACACACCGATTACTGTTTGCTGGACACTACATCCAAAATCGGCTATCTTCACCTCTCCATCAAGACCAAGGAGAAGATTTTCAGGCTTGATATCACGGTGGATGACATGCTTGCTATGTAGATATTGCAATGCAGCCACCACCTGAGAAATGTACTTAAAATAGCCAATCAGTTGGAGAATATCAGTGGCAGTTGAACGACGTACTTGACTTCCCTGCTCTTCTGAGAAACGTCCAAGTGTTGTAAGGCGCTTGAAGATATCTCCCTTCGGTGCGAGTTCCAACATCAAAAAAACCCGGTTTTCGTCATGGAAAAATCCATAGAGGCGTAAGACGTTCGGATGTCGCAGTTCCTTCTGAATTTCCATCTCACGACACAATTGCTCCTTGGCATGTTCCTCTTTCAGTTCAGCCTTGTACAGGCATTTCAGGGCGAGAATAAACTTGGGAGCCTCCTTGGTTCGAGCCATGTAGACGCGTCCAAACCCGCCCCTCCCAAGGCGACGGCCAATTTCGAACGAGTCCAATGTCCATGCATTGGGGGTGTACGATCTGTAAGGAAATTACATTATTTGAGTGAATGGACTGGTATGAACCAACTTACGAGCTTGTTGAAGATGCGCAACCGAGAGTCTCCACAGCTTCGCTGGAGAAGGCGCTAAGTTCACCAGTGTTGTTGACTTTCCGCCTGATATGGGGTGGAAGGTGCTGGTACTGTGGGGGCATCTTGTAGTGTAGTGGTTGAACGCTGTAGGGGCCCTTGGAGCTTGTAAGAATGTAGACTTTGCGCCGTAGGGTGATTTGGGGCCGAGGGATGTGACCGACTTGGAGGACGGGAGCGAATGTTGAATTGATTACGAATGTAAATACATCCAAGGTCAGAAACGAGAACATTTCCTGGAGTCTAACTACACAAATTGGGTCAGGCTGATTCTTCTGATACAGATCGTGGGGCCTCATCAGCACTATCCGGAGGTTGAGATGATCTGGATTGGCTTGATCGCCTCGGCCGCATCTGCCATCCCTGCTCGTTGAGGGTCCGTGGTTGTGGGTGGCAGTAAGTTCTGCGTTGTTGGTGGGGTTTGTGTTCGCAATTTGGGGTCATTGATTCTTTTGTGGGGGAATGCTTCGTTCCAGAATGGGACTTTGCTCAGCCGGCGCTGGTAGGTCTCTACCCTTGCAGCACTTGCAGTTCACCTGTGGCGATGGAAGGGTGATACCATTCCGTACTTCCAGCCGCGGCTACCCCACTGTCTGTGTTGGAACACGTCGGTGGGGTGGGGGGGAATTGGCCATGAAGACCCAGTGTGTAGAGGCGTTGCCGTGTCTAATCATGGTGATTAGGCCGTCCTCTGCTGGGTTAATGGTCTCACGGCATAGCAGCATGTTCAGGACTTCGCTGGCTAGGTGTTGGTCCACCTGGGTGCCGGTCTGCACCAGGTTTTGTCTGAGGCGGCTGGCCAATTGGCAGTGAAGTCTGTCGCAGGGTAGGCAGCGAAGCTGAAGGCCTTGGAGATCCAGAACCGATTGGAGAGGTGAGTGGCCGCGTTGCTGTACATTTGGCCTGCTATCATTATTCCCCCGGGAAGTGGCTCGTCTGCTTGCTGGTCATTTAATTTTGTGGCTGGGATGACCACGAGAGTGTTTGCTAAACCAGGGAAGGCCCACTTCATGAAGATAGTAGCGTCTGCCTTGGCCTTCTGCATGCAGGGAAAACGGAGTAGTTCATCGCGTTTTGCCAGGCTGCTTGGGCTCTGTCTGATACGTTGAAGCATAGGTGTGTGCTGAAGACCCCTAGGACTCTGTAGCCAAGTCGCCTGGGAGGGTATAGGCATTATGTGCTTGTTGGTCCTGGGGTGTGCTGCACTGCCCTATGGAGGGGTGGATAACCACTGGGTGGTCGACTAGGCCCCCTTCAGCAGCAGTGTCAGTTCCGGAGTCGAGTACTATGTCCTGGGTTCCTTCCGGTACTACATACTCTGTGCGGGTATTCGCTGGGCTTGGGGTAGATCGAGTTGAGTTGTCGGGGGACGGGTCGTGGCTATGATTACTCTAGGTGGGGCGGGGGCGCCGTCATCAGTGGGGTTGTAAAACCGGAATAGTGGACAACCCTTGGTGCAAGTCCAGTGCCTCTACATTGGGACGTCGACTGGGAGAGGTAAGGAACAATCCCCCAAACCTCACTTCTCTCCTCCCCACTCCGTCATCGGAACCGATTGGTGACATGTGACCATCAACATTATTAATATTACCATAACAAACAAAAACAAACCTTCACACTTTGTATCCAACATCCCAACCCCTCTTGCAACGATATGATAAAATCATCTGATAAGGGCTCATTTGATGCCATTGTTTGCCTCCATCTGCTTCGATCTTTCCCAGAACGGGTTGTCACACTCACTGGTGCAGGAGTTTCATGTGCCTCCGGGATCCTGGTTTGTTTTTGCAAAGAAAGAAGTAGCATGAGAGAGCTCTAATCATTCTCCAGGACTTCCGTTCTGCCACTGGCCTCTACAAGACCAAGAACAAAGATGGCAGTATCCCTTACAGGGATGTGTTCCGCACTAGGGTGCAGCAACCTGAACAAGCAGCAGAACAGCTCAAGACACTAGGGAGACTCTCAGAGCTTTGCTTGCAAGCCCCACCCAGTACAGCACACAGCCTCCTCGTTCACCTGTCTCAGCTCAAACTGTTGTGCCGGTCTTATACGCAAAATGTGGATGATCTTGATTCCAAGGCAGGTCTTCCTCTATTTGACGGCAATGGCAGGCAGGTCCACGTAACCCTGCATGGGTCTCTCAGGTATGTTCTCTCCTAACATGCTGCCTGCCCATGCTTAGCTTGTTATGCCATAGTATACTGAGATGTAATATCTGTTCTAAATCATGTGTGCTCACTGCACACCATGTTGCACAATACAAAAAGGGCTTGTTCCCTGAATGTAAGGAGTGTGTTGAAGAAGGTAAAGAACTCAGTGCTACCTGTCCTTTATCCACACTCTCGATCTTTCTCATATAGTGGCAAGACGGAAAAAAGAAGGACTGAGGTGCCAAAGACATGTTGGTGTGCTTTGCCATCAAATCGTCTACACAGAAGACGGTCCAGAAAGTGATCCAGTCGCTGAAGAGAAGGGCTTATTACTGGACCAAGATGCATCTTCCTCACCACGCGTGTTTTTGATATTGGGGACATCACTGAAATTGTCAGGAATTCGGTCTTTCGTGCGAACGATGACCCGTTCTATGCATCGACCAACAGACCTCCCACAGGCATTGCCCAATGGCATCAGAGACTACAATTATCTTGACTTGTTGGAACTCCAAACCTCAGATGCACTTGTTGTATTTGTCAATTTAGAGCAACCTCCTTGTAGCATGGTGCCATATATCGATGTTTGGCTTCAGGAGGATGTCCAAGCATGGTCAGATCGGATCAATCGGGGACTGAGAATGAGGAAGGGCCTGTAAGGAAGGGTTGGGTCTCAGGGTGGTGATGCGTGGTGCATGCTTCCTTTATTGTCTTGATGTGAACAATGTATATTTTCATGTGTGCATTCTGATTGCATGTCAATGTTGTTATAATCATGGCGTTGCAGCCCGACCTCTGAGTATGATATCACAGTATCATTAGATATGTCATAAATACAAGGATATGATAAGAAGAACTTGCCTGAGTATGGTATCACAGTATCATTAGACATCACACTCAGCTCTACACACCACACTTATATACATCTCTGTGTGGCACAAAGGAACAAAGGCTAAACCGTTAGAACAAGGGAGCTTCCCATAAAAGGGAACAATAACCATAACACACGGGCACCGGAATGCCCTGAGGGGTATAGTGGATGCTAATGGTGGACAGTGGGTATGGTGTAGTGACCCAGGATAAGAGCAAGAGCAAGTGAGATAGCAAAAGTGAGTGCAAATAATTGGTAGCCGACATGATCCCCTGCACTTCCATAAAAGATGTGACAGAAATTTCTGTCACGGACTTGTGACAATACAGAAAGACCCTTGTCAGAAAATTGTGAAATCCAGCTTAAATGGATGTGGAACCTTGACACTTGAGGGCCAAAATTGGATGTCTAAATGTGAGATTTGAATGCTTCAATACAACATGAAGATCTCCTGGAGGAGTCAGGCTCTCCCCCACTCTGCTGGGGAGATCTATGAAGATATGGGTCTCAAAAATGAAAAGGTGTTTGAAAAAAAACATAGCCCAGGGCATAGTTCATTTTGGGATAGGTTTTGTATGAATGTAGAGGGGCCAGTGAAGGGATCTAAGGTTGTGGCATAATAAGATCAGTTGTGACAAGAATTTTGGTCACGTGTCTATCTCCATCACAATTTTTTCATTCATACTTATACTTCAAATTATCAATCTCCCTATGGATCAGACCCAACAGGTACAGGTTTTCTCCATGGCCTTCGACATGTAACACTCATTTTGATAGGCTAGCGGGAGTAACTCCAGTCGCAGGTTTGGTATATGTAACTGCATTTTCTGTGTAAGATCCTGATGAGTTTTGTGTGTAGAAGAGAGGAAGCAAAACCATTTTACAATGAACAGGTTGAGCGGATGCTTGCATGGCTAGCGATCAACGTCCCCAAACATATCCCTGGCAACGCACACAGCAGCAGGACTGCTTGGACAGTGTTTAAGCGGATGTGTGAGGATGTGTGTGTTGCTGCTTACTTACTCTTACCCTGAATCTCACCCCAACCCACCATTGGGCCGAAATGCACATAGAAGGCAGAACTCCACTGGACCAGCAAACATCCTGTCGCTTCATGGCAGAACCATTTCAAGAAGCGCTTCGACAAGTTCAACCCTAGAGTTGATAGGCTGGCGAATCTGGATAGAAACGGAAAGGGGAAGGCTCCTGAGATTACCGCCGAGGCAATAATCCTGAACAGGAAGCGTGCCAATTCGGTTCAACCCAACTCTCTGCCACATCCCCAATCTCTCAAGCGGAGGAAGCCAAATGGGAACGGTGCTGGTTCATCGCCCAAGGGAAATGCCCCTTTGTCACTGTATGGGAGTGTCATATCCATACAATCCCGACCTCCGCTCCGGGCTCCCGGAACTCCGCACTCCGACTTCCGGAGCCCTACTTCCCTTCCATCACCTTCTCCTTGCCGACTCCCAAGAGGTTATCCCACCTCCGGCTCGGACACCACCTTCGGCCCGACTCCGGAACATTCCGGGTCCGACCCCAACCTCGACACCTTCCAGACGAGTACGCAAAACCTATGCTCCCGACTCCGGACCTCCGCTCCGGTATCCCGTTCACGTCTCGTCCCCGGAACCTCCGGTTTTAGTTCCGACCTCGGACTTTGACCCCACCTCCGCTTATACCCATTGTATTGGTTAGCTCATTCCATTTAATTACGTTTGCCAATATTCCGGAGTTTAACCTCCGAGTTCGGACTTTCCGGACTTACTCCGGACCTTGCAACTATTGCATTGTCCATTTCAATTCCGCTATTCTCCCTCATTCCTATTTGGGCTGCTGCTTCCTTTCTATTCAGTCAGCTAGCCATTCCCGACTCCCATCCTCCTTCCTTCCTTCTTGGGCCTTGGCCCTTCATTCCTCCTTTGGGAAACACCATTGAGTCAAACACTTGACCCTCGGTGTTATTCCTCTTTCCATCTCCCTTTGTCTCCTTTTGTCCTACCCTTGTTCCTTTTGATTCCGGACCCCTCCTTATATACAATGTACCTAGTAACTTGTAACCTCAGTCCGAAATCGACTGGAATTCCCCCCAAGAGACTTTCCCTCTGCTAGATCCGAAATTAGGGACCCCCAGGACAACCAGCAATGGCACAGCGCTCC